CCGAGGCCGTCGGCAGGCTGCTGCAGGAGCTCAACTAGGAACGGGGCGGCCTCCATTGCCAAGCCAAACTGCATTAGAATATTAGAGTACTTTTGTTTTGTTGGTTGCAATGCAGCTTCAGCAGAGTTGGAGAACATATCCCTGGCATGGCTCGTTTCAGGGCGAGTGGTTGGTCGTCTCCCGCTGGTTGACTTATTGTGGTGTTTGCACCCTGCAGGCGGGGCGAATGCAGGTCGCCGCAGCCGAAGGGTGGAAATGGTATACAAATGGTAGGGTTACCCCAGCAGGAACGAGGATAAATTTACCACTACCCCTAACCACCACATCTATTTCCGATTCTAACTATTGCTGACATCAGAAAAAGAAAAGAAACCTGGAGACGTGGAGTCACGTGAGTCACGGCGCGAGTGGCGCTCGCTGGCAGGCGCCGGGCGGGCCGTACCGCTCCACAGCGCTGCTGTGCGGGTTGGCCTACCCGCCCGGCGCTCGCCGCCACCCGCTTAGTGAGCTCCGAGGTGTTGCGCCCAGCAAACACAGAGAAATCTCCCATACTCAGAGCACGACATCTATCTTCGTCACGCCTCCGTAACACGTTCAAATAAAACAGTTGGTAATAATTATAAGAACAATACTGCAGGTTTCACTTATTTTATTCTTGATGCTATACACGTTGTGTTAAAAGTAGATCTTTATCTTATGACGCAGTACATGGATGAATGACTTGAATACGCGGCGTCGCTGCCTGTGGTGGACTGCAGTGTGGTCCGCCAGCACGTGGCCCGGCCCGTTCGGCAGCAGTGTTGCTAACCGAGTCGAAAAGTCGACACGAAACACACCCGTAGAGTAGAGTGGGCTGCACTCGTGGCCGCACGCCATAGGTTAACGTCAGCGCGCTTGCAGTGCCTTGTCCCGCCGTGCTTGCGGGTCGCGAGAAGGGTTGTGTGCGCTAGGAACCCGAACACGCCCCGGTGTCCCTGCCAGCCCTGCTGCTCGGGGTCCTCTCGCTACCACTGGGTGGCGGGGGCACGCCCACTGCCCGCCGCCCCTAGACCTCTTCCTCCCTTACACGGTCACACCTGCCGCACAGCACCTCGGCCCCGGGCAGCACCCGCCGCACCTCGGCGCGCTGCTGGCTGCAGGCGGCTGGCTCGTGGCTGTAGGCCCGCCTCCGCAGCAGCACGAGCCTCCTGAGCGCCCGCAGCCCGGTCTGCTGCAGCAGCGAGTGCAGGTCGCCGCAGCTCCTTGGCCACTCATCACTCCCCGCAGTGCCCACCCCCAGCTCCAGCTCCTCCAGCGTGCCGCCGTGCGCCCGCAGCAGGGACTGCGTCGTGGCGCGGGGGAGGAGACACACCCTGAGCCACTGCAGGCCGGCGTGTCCCGGCGGTAGCGCGGGCAGCTGGGGGAGTTGGGCGGCAGCATTATTACAATGCACGGCCAGCCTCCTCAGCCGCGGCATGTCGTGCACCGCGCGCAGGTGGGCCTCGCGGGGGTGGTACACACTCAGCCGCTCCAGCGTGGGCGCGGCGCGCTGCAGCAGCTGGAGGCTCCAGGCGGGGTCCTCGTCGCACCGCACACTGACCAGCCGGGTCACCTGCGGCAGAACAGAGTCAGTCTCAGGGCGGCCGATTACGTGCGGCACTGTCTGCAGTGTGCCGGGCCGCTCCCCGCAGCCTCTTGCGGGCCGTGAGGCTCGAGGTCCAGCGCACACTCACCCCGCTTACCCCCGCCGCGTCCCGCGGGGGCGGCGCCTCGGCAGGTTGTGAGTCCAGGACGGCAAGGGTAGCTTCAGGTGGTGTGGGTGCAGCTGCAGGAGTTGTAGGGTCCGTGGAGCAGCTCGGTCCTGCACAACCACTCTGGGTGTAGTACACGGAGGCACACAGCAGCTCTAAAAACATTACATGCATACGGTATAGTTAGCTCTGCACATTGACGCGTCGATTCCGTGAGGTTCAGATGCTTGCTAAAATTAGGAATTTGTTGCCGGAAAACGGAGATGTTTAACTTTGGAACACATTAATATATTGACTTGTAGTAGCTGCAGCTGGACACACCTGAGACATAAGAGGTCTTATCTGAGACAGGGACGGCATTAATATCTCACAACGAACACAACACTGCAACAACAAGTGTCTCACCAAAGTAGCGCACCTAGGGTTGTTTCAGTAGGGCGTATCCGGTTGTTCGAGTGCGATAAAGGAGGGCGTCAAGGAGGGCCATATTACCTCGTAATACCTCGTAAAGCGTGGACATCGCCTCCGACAGCAGATACAGCGCCTCGATGAGGCTGACCATCGCCGCCAGCAGCAGCCACAGAGCCTTGTTGAAGGGTTCCTTGCCCTGCAGCTGGCGCCTCAGCAGGGCTCTCTTAAAGGGCAGGACGTCGTGGTCCTCATCCCAGCAGCGGGGCGACGGGGCGGTGCGGCAGTCCAAGCACCAGCAGCGGGGACTGCTGTGGGGCACAAGTCAGGCCATAAGGCTCTCGAACACCCCGCCTCCGCCGCCGCGCGATCGAGCTCACCTGTCCAGCCTGACTCCCTCCGACTTCAGCAAAATGAAGTTAGTGATGAGTCCCTCCGGCGGTCCGTTGAAGTTCTGCGGGGGAAACGGGTCAGAACGAGAGTAACGAACGAGTGATCCGGGACTGACTTTACTCCACGCCACTTACCCGGCGGCACGTCGGGCAGCTGCTGTCGGGCAGCCGGCGCAGGCACTGCAGGCAGGCCGTGTGCCCGCACAGCAGGACCTTGGGCAGCCGCTCGGCGCTGTCGAAGCGCTCGGTGCAGATGTCGCACTCCAGGTCCATGCTGAGCGGAGCTGCAGAGGCGCCTGGAGGGCAGCAGGCGAGGCAGTCGGTCGGCCGGGATAGCGCCGCAGCGGGAGAGGGAGTGTCTCTGCAGCGCGGAGTAGCTCGTGACAAGCACAGCTGTGCGGCGCTGACGTCACGGCGACTTCTCCTTTCCACCGCGGGGTCGAGCTATCTGACACTTTGGTTCCTGATCAACATTGCAAGCAAACTCTTTAGAAGCCACTGACCACTTCAGCCCTCCGCTGTCCACGAGTAGCGGGGACGGGTGCACTGCGGTGCAAAGCTGCAGGATTGCCTTGACTCACTTGTTGGTCGGGCGGGGCGTCGTAGTCCTAACCTCTCCGTCCTGGTGCGGCTCGCTCGCCCAGCGCCGAACACGACCAGGGCGAGATGGGTGACTGCGGAGACGGTTATCGAGGTCACTGCAGACGGGTCCGCAGCATGGTCCGCGGGCAGGCACCTGGGGCTGAGGGTCTTGGAGTTCACTCGGCTGCGCTGGGCTGGGCGTTGCATCCGCTGCGCTGACTAGGCTGGACTGCCGCCCGCACGGCCTGTTGACGTCTTCGTCATGGACCGGTTAGGGGGGGGGGGGCACGGCACTACCGCCCGCCACGCACCACGGCGGCGCTACTCCGCGCTCCAACCGACGGCAGGGCCGAGACACCCAGAGGAATGCTTAGCAATGGCAACCATCTAATGGCTGGCACAGGGGGCACCACAAAGTATGGTCGAGGCAACAATGACGTGATGGAAACCATATTTTTGGTTCTCACTACCACGATAATATTTGCGTCAACCATGCTGACAGGGCGCTGCTGCAGATCGGCACGCTGGGCCCGTTCCAGGTCGCCAACATGCCCATCCTGTTCGTGGCTATCTACATGATCGCCTTCGTGTTCACGGCTCACTCAGGATCTTAACTAAAGGCAGATCAACCGGATGCAGTGTCGTGCTCAAAGATTGACGTGGATTTGAGAAGGCCCCGCCGTAAATTTCTCACGGCCCGCAAAGCCACCCCAAGCACGTCTTCTTCCCGTTAAGACTGTTGCCAACTCGAATAACAGGAACGCGTGCAGTAGTACCGGTAGTACTGTGTGCGCGGCGCGGGTGGCGCTCGGCCGGCAGGCGCCGGGCGGGCCGTCCCGCTCGACGGCGCTGCTGCGCGGGTCGGCCTACCCGCCCGGCGCTCGCCGCCGCCCGCCCACCAACTCGACGCTAACGGAACGCCTATCCGCGGGACCAACACTGAGCCCTGGTCGCTCTCCTCGGCCACCGCATCGAGTCGCCTCGCCCTGGGAGGGTCGCCGGCGTCCCCCCCAGAGGCCGTCGGCAGGCTGCTGCAGGAGCTCAACTAGCAACGGGGCGGCCTCCATTGCCAAACCAAACTGCATTAGAATATGAGAGTACTTTTGTTGGTTGCAATGCAGCTTCAGCAGAGTTGGAGAACACATCCCTGGCATGGCTCGTTTCAAAACATACTCCCGGGGTTTGTGAGACGGTTGACGCGTACATTGGTTAACCTGTACTCCACAGGTCATGGAGCTCCTTTAAAGCCAGATTCTAGGTCTTATTATACACCCGCTACCACAGCAAGGTTCCAGACACCGGGGGACTCTCACGGCCCGCTTCGCCGTGAGTCGAACCCCGGCCCACCCGGCCCAGTGCCGAGTCTGTAGCCACCTTCGGCGCAGTGCCACCAATGACGGTAACCACTAATGCCGTGCTAACTAACACTAACTCCACGAGGGAGACGTGGTGAAATGACGGGTTTGAAGTCCATATGAAATTTGGAGGCCTGAGAATAAATTCGGAATGATGGAGATTCGGACCGCCGATCTTGCGCGCTCTGGGCGGGCGCGCTACCGATTGAGCCATACAGGCGAGATACGGGGCGACGTATCCAGGGCCGTGCAACGCTGTCGATGACTGCTAGAAAATGTAAGTGTGGAGATTTTTTTTTGTTCACACAACATATACCTCCTTGTGCATTTTGATGTGCTGGGAACAACATATCAAAAAGATGGCGATAACATTTTTGGGTTTCTTTTGCAGTGTTGCCAGAAAAGTAGGCAAAACCCGCCCAACACACAGCTGTGCGGAGCGGTCGGTATCTACGCCTGCCTACTAGGCAAAACCTCAGCACGAATGTGTAGATGTTGCCTAGTAGGCAG